TTGTGCCCAAGAGAAGAGTTAATAAAGTGTGCTACCCGTCAAGTGGTCTCCCGCTGTAATTTACAATACTACAGATACACAGACATGGATTAACACACATATGGACTCACACACAGACGCATTGACTTACACACATGCATCGAGTGACACACATGTATAGACTTACACACACATATGGACTAACACACAAACATATGGACTGACACACACATACACATCGACGTACACACACACAGATCGACTGACACACACACATGGACTAACACACACATATAAACACTTTGACGTACACACACACATGGGGCGTTGTCCGTTCGAAAAAGACAGACACCCACATGGACTCAAAGACACACACATGGACTCACACACACACATCGACGGGCACAGCAATCCCCGATGATGGCACAGCTATCAGTATCGCAGTATTACGTATGAGTAAAGAGCGTGACGTGAGTGATGGAAACAATATAAATGCATTGAAGAAATAAGCTGAAATCACAGACTGGCAGTAGACCGTGGCAGCGTCATAAAAGCGCAGCAAAAAATGGGGAAATTGAGCAACCCAAAAATCCAAAAAGAGTTTTGTGTACACAAACATAATCATTGTAAAACTTTTTTGGACTCATGGACTCACACACACACGCTGTCGCCTCGACAGACCTGGTTTTCAACTGAGGACGGCTGCTTGCGTTGTGGCCGAAACGTCGTGAGAATTATTTTATTAGGTTTTATTTTTCATTATTATTTTATTACTTCCCTTCTACGTGACTTTACCGAAAGAACCAAGAAGATTATTGTAACATGTCAACTTGTTTCATAATGGTAAACAATGAACCTGAGTTGTTATCTTCACACAAACATAATTATTGTAACATCTGTGAACTTGTTTCATAATGGTAAGCAATGAAGCGTATTTTTTATCAGCACACAAACATTATTATAGTAATGTTTGTGAACTAATGTGTTTAACAATAGTAAACAATGGACTTGAGTTGTTAGCGTAAGAAGCAAGACACTTTGTATTTACCATAGGTGTGTTGAGGCCTTGTGCCATGCGTAGCCCCCGTCCTGGCCTACGTTGGCAAGGCGGCGGAGTTGGCACTTTGGCAGGCTAGGGGCTGGGCCGATACCCCCGCACCCCACCCGCCCCCCCCAGCATCTCCCGGCCGTGCAAGAAGAATGCTATGTAAGCAGTAAAATATTATTAGCTACGGAGTCTGTAGTATAAACTGGACGCATCGTGTTGGGGGGGGGGAGCGAAGAGGACACTCTGAAGAAATATCCGCAGCGTGATGTGTGTATGACTTGCCTGTAAAACGCGCAAATTAAAATGTCCTCCGTGAGCTGGAGCGAACGCGCATGACTTGGCAGGGTCTGCCCTCCCCAACGCAATTGGCGTCACTTGGTACAGTCGATGGTGCGCAATAACTAAATAATTAATAATAGAAACGGCACAAATGTGTTAATTAAACGACTTTAAAGTTTATGGATGGGAAAACGGAATAGCCTATTCCCACCGCGGGGCTTAGGGCGTGCCACCCGACAAATTGTTTTCTACGTGAAGGCCACTGTCCGAGAGGCACATCCCCCGCAAGCGCGAGCGTGCGGAGACTTTTATATATAAGAAGAAAAGATAGAGGTTTTTGGGTTAGAGTGCGTAAATATGATCCGCTAAACACCACCCGATACAGCCAATTACGAAGGTTTGTCACGTAAACAAAACATGCCAAATCGTTACTAGTGCAGCACATCGGTGTGTTGGAGAGTAAACCCACTACGATTTGTTTACGTTACAAACCTTTACTAAATTAATGATACATTTATATTTACGCGATCTCACACAAACAAAAATCTCTCTCATGAATTATTTAATGTTGCTTCCAACATTTACACGAATAATTTACACAAATTAGAATAATATTTACGCTAACCTAACAACTTTTTAAAGTGACTTTACTGAAAGAACCAAAGAGAAACTATTACATTGTATTGCTATTGTAAACAGACCTTGCCCCAGTGCTAAATGAATAAGTACTGTACCGTACAGTACACGGGGCTACAACCTTGACTGCACTCCGTGAACACGTATGCCTTTGGGTGCAACAATTTAATCGATTGATCAATAGCACATTTAAAACTGAGAAGCCATGCATCAAACAATATGTGTGAAGAATATACTGCAGCAGACTCTAGATTATCCACGCTAATGACGAGGAACAACGGCTGCGCTTAATTACAAAATCGCAGATAATCCCAAAATATACATTTTTCTGCCGATCTCACTAACAAAAACTAACATAGGTGTACTGAGTTCAACTGAGTCACAGACGTACTCTTAGAGGCAACATATTTATTAACACCAATACACGGGATAACTGCCCCTTAACAGAATAACAACCTATGGTGGTGACCACCAGGCTAACTACACTGATTACAATGTCAAGTGATACCTCGGTATACGACTGCTTTGGAATATGTCGAATTTGGTATATGTCGTGTTTTGACGAGAAAAAAATGTCTTGGGATACGACGTCTTGTTTGGGATATGACGGGCTTGCTAAAACTTGTATGGGTCGGGATGAGTCACCGCGTCCCCGCGTAGACCCCGTTCACGACTGAAACAAAGCGCCGCTCCTCAGTCTGCCTGTACAGTAGATCTCGTTCAGTGCACAACCCTTGCTATAACTCTCTGTGAATTTTCCAGTGTTTTTGTCATTTTAATTTATGTATGCATTTTAATAATAAGTAGTGTCTAATTTATTTTATACAACCCCATTAATGTATAATATGCCATATAAAATATCATTTTTTACACTCTGGAATGGATTATTTCCTTTCGCTTTATTTCTTATGGGAAAAATGTGTTTGGTATACAGTGATACCTCGGTTCACGAACGCTTCGGTTCACGAACAACTCGGTTCACGAACAGAAAATTTCATAAAAATATGCTCCGGTTCACGAACTCCGCTTCGGTTCACGAACAGGAGCCGTGGCCATTTTTATGCTAATTCCAGGCTGTCACATGGTCGTGACTTCCTGTAGGAAGATCGTGGGGAGAAGCAGAGACACAGAAAGAAGTACTGTGAGTACTATGAAGACACTTTCAGTGACTTTTTGATTTTTGGTGTGCTTTTTAGCACATACAGTACTGTACTGTACTACTGTACTGTACAATACTGTACTTACTGTATTGTACAGTTCACCCGTTTGAGTGCTTACTGTCTCCCACCCGCCTCCCACCTGCCTTCCTCCATGCCAGAAGTCATCTCAAGCAAGGTTAGTGTTCTCTCTTTATACATTACTATACTGTACAGTACTACAGTAATGTGTATTGTCATTTGTTTCATATTTTTGTGCTTCAAAAACCAAAAAAAAGGTCACAACGGATTAACCGGATTTACATTGAACCCTATGGGAAAATGTGCCTCGGTTCACGACCAATTCGGTTCACGACCAGAGTCAGTTCACAAATTAAGTTCGTGAACCGAGGTATCACTGTACGTCATTGTCGGTATAAGTCCTACCTTCTGGAACGAATTAACGACGTATACCGAGGAATCACTGTAACTTGCTACTATGGACCGGACCAAAGCTCGGGTCCAGGTCCACGTGTTGGAGACTCGGTAGAACGTAGACGAAGGTTTCTTCAGGATGAACAACAACGCCGGCCCCTCTGGGGGACCCGGCTGATATCCTCTGCGGCGTGGCTGGCTCCGCCCTTGGCCACGACCACCTTCCAGAATCCTCGAGCAGGATCTGGACCCCGACCACGTGACCACCCCTAGCCCCCACTTGGGGCCCCTGTGTAGACTTAACCAGTCACGTGTCCTCTCGGGTCAACCAGAGTGCTATGGACTTTAGAAACCCCTTTCCTATGGCCTGCACTCCCACACCCTGTCCTGTAGGGCTGGCACTGCACGCCAAGCGTGGTGCCATCCAGCGCTATCAACCAGCACTCACTGAGCCCCTCTAGGGCCGGTACTACACCCACATCATAGTTGTATCCGCGATGTCGTTACATCGCACGCCGTGCCTTTCTAGGGCCGGCACTGTACAGTGACATCCCGCGATGTCACTACATAGGTATAAATTATGTTTACGTTAAGACAATTTAGTTCCGTAAATTAAAACTCACAAAATAAATGATTGGATAAATCACTCAAATTTAAGCACAACTGACGATTTAGATTCATTTGTCTTTTGATTTAGAACAAATTACTAAACGATCGTCCCATCGATGATGAGCATGCTCAGGGATGATAACACTACTCCAGCAGCAGAAGACTCGGCCTACTGAGTGAATGATAGCAGAGACACAACCCATCAACATCAATAAACCTCTGCCCCACTGTTGTAACTGTATGGCAAATACTGTACTGTAGAGGTGATGGCGTGGATTTCGGATTAATCGGAGAAACATATGTGTTCGGTTTAATGACGCGTGTGACTTGTAATGAAGATTTCCAAGAATAGTATACATGTTTTAGATTATTAATTTCGACTTAAGAAACAATCCATGAGTTATTAATTCATGTACAAATTTCAGGTGCCGCAGTTAATCCGCAAATTGGATAAACCCGCATAGTGATGATTGAGAGTCTACCGTATAAGTTTAAATATATTTTAAGAAGTTATCCATTATGCATAGAATTGTATTTAGTCCCTCGGTTAACGTATTTTATTACATTCCAACGAAAACTACTGGTTAATCAAAATAACTATGAATCGAATATAGGAATTACATGGTATAAGTAAAACATCACTGAGTCTGCAAGAGAGTAGCTGTTTTTCCACTGCACAAAAACAGAAAACTATACACATATTATCGATTAATCAGTGGATCATCGATTATCCGGCGGCTACGGAGGAAAAGATGGCGCCAGATTTCAACATTTTTAGGTCTTGTGTCTATGTTTTTTTGTGTGGTTTACATGTGTTTACGTGTTTGAAGTTGGCATCAATAAACATACAAATTGACACAAATAAATATTCACACGATTACAGATCCTTTATTTATGGCAGACGAAAAACCCAGTGGAAATAAAGAAAAAAATCCTCCTTCCTTTCAACAGCGTACAGAAGCACGCGACGAGAAATCCCAATCAACGCCACACGCTGGGGCACTAGGACATTAACGTGGGAGGAGCGCTTTTAAAAAGTAGTTCCGCGTCAACCGACGGGCCGAGCATCGCCGTGTCACCGCATCACTCCGCGTTACCGCTTCACCATAACCGCTGAGCCATCATGCAGTCTTGAGAAAGTACGTCGCCTGTCGACTTCTAGAAACCGCGTTACAGCATCGGTGGCTCACGTTCCACGTTACAACAGCACACATGTTCCGAGTTATAACGGTGCGCGTTCCGCGTTATAATGGTCAGCACGTTCCACTTCTAAGGGTCTCTGTGTAAGTCTATGGTTCTCTGTGTGAGTCTGTGTATGCATTAATGTTGAATTTCGTTGGCACCATACTTAACCAACCGTGTTTATCGGAGGTGCAGGGGGTAGGGGGAAGGACAATAACTGAACACAGCAGGCGGTCGGTGTGTTTGTGTGTCATGTCTGTTCAGTTCGCGCGCTACGCTACACTTGAAAATGGCCACCCAAGTTCGACTCCTGCTCACTCCCAACACCAGTGATGATTATGTGAACCATTTCCTGGGCCTCCCGTAGGTTGGCTTAGTCTTAAATGAGTATCTGGTGTGGTGTGTTAACATCGCCACTGGGGAGACAAAGGCGGCCGGGCGTAGTGTTGGCCACCCACCCCCTCGTGTGCCACAGTGCCGGCCTTCATTGGTGCTCGCTAACAGAATTTTCCCCAACAGTCTGTTACAGGATATACGAGGGATCGTTGTCTTTGTTTCACGCACACCTGTAATCCAGAGCTATGGAAATGAATCACGCGAATGTTGTAAAAGTTACCCTTTTTAAATCCTTTATATTAAGTTTGCTTGCTTGCGTGCTTGCTTACGACCGTGTAAATCTTTCGGTCGTTTTTTAACCCACTTCCCATGATCCAATCGAGTTGACATTTTCCACACAGACTCGTTGTGCGTGACAATTAATGTTCGTGAAAAATTTTTTTCCAAAATTTTACACTTTATAGGACAAAAATATATTTAATTACCAATTCTTTAATACTGCAGACAATCATCTGACCCATAGGTGGCAGCCATCTCAAGCCAGAGGACGAGAGGACTCTCGCCGCCACGCATATAAAGGATTTATAGTGAAAAACTTTGTTTTTACTGGTATACTTATTACATTCCCTCAAGAGGTCCGCCATATCACCTGGCCTCGCCAGGATATTGCCGTGCAGCGTAAAGTGGGCTCATCTCCAAGTGTCTCCGTCTGGGACAGGCGTAGACTTGTCCGACTACGATCCGCGGCTCGCGGTGACCTGCTGCTGTACTCGCTGCATGCAAACCTCGTGCGCAATACGGCCAGCCCAGTTTCGGGGTCCCCAGCCCAAGCACCTGGAGCTCGCTACCAGCTCACGTTCGGGATCCATCTCCTAAGACTGAGCCAGTTCTGCAATAGACTCATCACGGTGTTGTTTTAGAGAGCCTACTTCAATTTGTGATCAATGAGCATTCGTGATAGGCTCGACTCATAAAAGTACGCAACAACAAATGTTTTTACTCTTACTTTGACCCTATCACAACAATTGGCGGGGTTCTCTCTCGGCACTCCGGATTCCTCTCCGAATATATACATCCATGAAACAGATGAAGGCATCCTAATATGTAGCGGACTGCAGTGCTTCGGAAATTGTTGGAGCTGGCTTGGGGAGGGGGGGGAGCATGGACAAGAGGTATTGAGTTGGGGAGCCATGCCAAGACGATTGAGAAGCACGAGGACCTACCGTGGGACTAATTACAGTGGTCCCTCAGTTTATAATGCCATCGATTGATAATGTTTCGATTACCGATCAGCCTCCCTCATAGGGTCAAAATAGTTTTTTATTCATGACTCATTTTCGATTAACGATACGTGTTTTACAATGTTACGTGGACCCACCAATTCCAATTTCGGCAAATCGGAATGCTCCATAAGTGCCACGGTAACTAGGAGATGTTAACTACTTCGTCAGGTATACAGGAGGTCGTGGGTTCGATCCCGACCATGACAACTGCTGTATATTTGGAGTTTGCATGTTCTCCCTGTGGTCACGTGTATTTTTCTCCGGGACCTCCGGTTTTTTTCCCTCCACATTGAGAATCAACGTTGCACGTTTGGCGTATTTGGCCGCTGCTTTATATTTCCACGTGATGACGATAAGCTGCCAGTTTGTTGAGCTATCATTTGTGATCACCTGGTCACTTCTGAAAAAGAGCTACAAAGCAGCTCCGTGGGGCCTTACCTCGTACAATAAAAAATGGCTTTAACAAAAAAATGTAAGTGGACTCGGCAGATCTCAGCCAATCAGCGACCGCCCTTATATGACGGTTTTGAAAACAACTGGCTAGTTCGCTTTTCAATGTTTGATGGTGCGTTGCTTATGTAAACGGCTCTCTTGAATACTTTTTGGACTTAAAAGTTAAATAAGAGCCAAGTTGATTGACAGATGCTGTGAGGGCGGAACTAAATGTGTGTATAGGTGACCCCCGACTTGCGATGGCTCGACTTACGACCCTCCACTTTCATGACCTTTCTTATCGGAACAACCAAAACTCGTATCTATGACCGCCTAATGACTACTCACCACGACAAAGGGACTCCTGGAGAAGACCAGCTGTTACTGCAGGGCAGACGGCTCAGTCACCGAGACGACAGCTGCGTTGAGTTGTTCAGACCACTGTTGGACTTGACTGCCAAGTCCCTAGACTGTCGCTGCATGGAGTCACTCAGAGCGCTGTTGGAAGCGCAAAAGCAAATCCCGAGACTGCCGCTGCATATATCCATTAAGAGCGCTGTTGTGAGTGTAAAGCAAGGCCGAGGTTGATTCTGCGTTGATTTTTGGGAGTACGGCTCTACCGTTGAGTCCTGGGGGGGTCCCTGACGCTGTAGTCGACCTCGACGGTGAATTTGCGTACCCTGGGCTTCTGGTGCGTTGCCTCGTCACCCAGGAGTGGAGGTGTAAGTCAGGGTTGGTACGAACGGTCCTCGCGGTGGTCTCTATCTGTGTAAGTCGCTGCGGTGTTCTGTCATTGCCGACACGCGCGGTCACTGTGTTAAGTAGGAGAACTGCAGGGTTCTGCAGACGCGTGCTATTACTGTCGCTGAGAGTTTGAATAGTTGGTTGTACTTGGTTGTCAAGAAATTGTTATCCACCACAGTTGGTTCACGTCCTTGTGCGTAACGAACTAAGGCATAGTTACTGCATTCCAAATCTTGTTAAGATTCTCAGTATTCCAGATCGAGTTATTGTCCTTATTTCTGTTGCCGTCAAAGCGCGTTTAAAAATCTGTGTTGGTGTCCGATTAAAAATATTGAGAGAATTGCACGGGAGAGAAAATGGATCTGAACTCCTCTCACTCCCATGTTAGAAATGAGCAACCTTCATAGCTATCAGCTGGAATTGGAATATTTCCCTCTTCACTGCCGATGCCGGATGGGAAAGTTGGTGAGGATTCAGGACTTTCTCAGTTGGTGTAAGCGGCTATGTCTCTCTGCATTGTCTAACCGATTCATATTCGCCCAGACACCCTGGCTGGCAAGGAGAGAGGTGGCTGAGAAAAAGAGCCGGGCCTATTTTTCCTCTGGTGAGAACATCTCGCATCCGAAAATTAACAGTTATTACCACAGCTTTGGGAATATTTGCAGATTTTTGTTGAGCAGTTTTCTGAGATGTTGCCCAAAAGCTTTATTTAAACTGGAGGGGAGGGGGTGCATGCGCGTGCATGTGAATTTGTTCCTGATCTGTCTTCCCAGACGCACCGATAAAAAAACGATCGATTCACTCGGAGTACAGGATATAGCCGCTGAACACCGAGTCTCTATGTACGTCGAACAGAAAATGAATGTATGGAGCCTCCAACTCCAGCCACACCTCGTCCCCGGCCTTGAGACTCAGCACGACGCTGCCGCTTATTGCGTCGTATTTATCACCGCACACCTTAGAGATGATGTTCCCGTTTGTCATGATCATCACCACGAGGGACTGTTCATGGGAATGCATGTTAAGCGTGAAATAGTAGACGCCTGGGTGAGCGCAGGTGAACTTCCCCGTGCCGGGGTTGTAGTGGCCCTGCGGGTTGGTGATGATGACGTTGAACGTCACGGGGGAGCCGGCCGCCGGCTTGTAAGCGCCAACCTTCGCAGAGAAGGCCGACCTGGGCCCCACGCCGCTCTCTCCCCGCTTGCCTTTCTCGCCTCTTTCGCCCTGCTCACCTGGGACTCCCGGAGTCCCCGCGAGCCCTGGTTGGCCAAGAGGGCCCAGCTTTCCCGGCAGACCTAGGCGGACAACACGGTCTGAATGCATGGCATTTGTGGGGTGTGTTACCCCATGGTAGTGTAGCAGTTAGCGCTATGAAACCAGCAGAGACCCGAGTTCGATTCCCGCTCATGGTCAACACAAGTGACGATTATCTGAACTGGTACTGGGCTTCCTACCCTAGGTCGAATCAGCATCAAATGATTACCTGGTGTGATGTATTAACAATGCCACTTGGGAGACAAAGGCGTGCCAGTTTTCATAGGTGCTCACCAACAGCACTTTCCACAACAGTCTGTTAAGGCTATACGGGGGATCTTTGTTTTTTATGTGTTTATCCCAACTCTCAAACGGAGAGATGTGGCAATTCTGCATCTATGTTGATGACGGAGAGCCAAACCTGCACAATTGAGTCGTGTCCTGTGACAAACGTCTTTGTTTTATAACAGGAAGTCCTTGCCCAACGTGTCTGTATAAAACGCGTGTTTCCGCTCTACACGGTGTACTGAATGAGTTCTGTTTTCCAGAACAAGGGGTCATGTATGGTGCCACGATCACAGAGCAATGCCGCAAACGCCGCACTCCCTTCCCGGCCCCCACACTAAACACCCACCCACACACAGTGCACCCACGTAGTGTCCTGACGGGGGGTTCCCTGGCACATCGGGTTTTAATCCGAAGGGCCCCTAGAGGGAGAATCCCACGGTTTCCCGGTGCCAGGAGATTAGCCATCGCAGGACAGGTTACATTGCGGTGCCCCTAAATTAGCATAAAATTGGATGGGCGCAAAAGTAAAAGGTTCACTGGGCCAACCGCAATGAGTTACTCACGACACTGGGAGAGGCGGAGGGTGGAATATTAGGCAGAAGGGCAGACCAGTGGGTTAGAATGAATGAGCGCAGGGGGACAATGGGTGAGGGGCCGCAGCAGCAGCAGACCCCGTGACCCTCCATGTAGACGGCGCAGGTGAGCACGCGATTAGCTGTGCAGTACAATGCCACCCTGGGCCTTTGAAGTGAGGGGATTAGGCCACGGTAGAGACAGTGGAGAGGGACGATGATGGGAAGCATGGGTAAGCGCCCGATTGGCTGCGTGGTATGACGTCACCCTGGGCCTTTGAAGTTTAGAGATCAAAGATAGGTGCCCCTTGACGGTGAGTTCAGTTGTCTTCAACCTCCGGGCGATCCAGACCCTTCCCTGCTGTCCTGCCTCCTTGAGCTACTCGCAGCATCCGTGTGATGCCCGCGAGTGCTGCTACGAGGCAGTGATGAGCGAGGGTTTCGCTCGTCCTTCTCCCTCCGACTCTCACAGCGTCCGTGCGACGCCGTGAGTACAGCGACGAGGTACGTGGTAGAACGTTTGGGTAACTGTGTTCATAGGCAGAGTCACGCTAGGCTCTCCTCGCGAAATATTCCTCCTCCGGGTAATGCGTATTTGCGCCATTAATAAACTTTAGCACAGAGGATCCGTGTGGTGTGATTTAGGTGAGGGTGGGGAGAGCGTAGGTGTAGTGCGGGTAATTGCGGGCGTGTGAAGCACGCGTATATTATCATCAAGCCGGCCGTCATTTTGCCCTCGTGCGTGTTTGCACAGCGGATTAATGCCGACGCACAGGAGGGGGGGAGAAGCGCGTGCATATTCACGTGCGTGCGCGCAGCTACCTCCACATTAGTGGTGGTGTACGTGGGGAGTGTGTGGGATAACTCCAGGCGGTGGACAGCCAGCCACTAGCTACGTCCCGCAGAGAAGACGCTGGTGCGGGGAGGCCGATCGCACGATCGGTGGCAGCCCGGCGAGAAGGGGCGGAGGAGGAGAGGGGCGTAAGCCCCCACAGATGTTACACCTATACGCGGTATACCTCGTGAGCTCTGTTTTCTACAACATGGAGATACATAGAGACCCATCGACTAAACTATTTGTTAAATTCCCAGGTGTAAGGTCCACCGAGCTGCTGTTTTGCTATTTTCTTCAGCAACGATCTGCCTGTCGACAGTGACAGCTAAATGTGGTGGCTGATATCATCATGTGGACATTTATAGCAGTCAAATACTGTAAAGTCTAAACGCATGTTTCTAAAGGTGGAAGGAAAAACCAAAGGAACCCGATGAAAAATCCACACGACCACGGGGAGAACATGCAAACACCGAATATACATCGGGCATCGTCAGGGTTGGGTTCGAACCCACGACCTCCTGTGGATCAGACGAGGGAGTGAACATCTCCTAATCCTGACGCCAGCTGTTCATTTGGAATTTGAATGCGTCTCTCCCCGTGGTTGCGTGGATTTTTCACCGAGTCCTCCGTTTTTATTCCTTCCACATTTAGAAATGTATTTGCCTGAAAAAATGTCTACGTGGACATCAGCCCATTTCGTCGAGCAATCATTACCAGGTCGCTTTTGAACAAGATTCGCATAGCTCAGTGAGTCTTACTTTGTAATAAAATAAATATATAGAATCAGCTGCTCGGAGCACACGAGTCAGTGTCACAGTCCTACCTGGGTCCCCAGTCAAGCCTCGAGCCCCGAGGTCTCCCTTGGCTCCAGGTGCTCCGGTAACACCTGCGAGAAGAACAAAGCATGGCTCGTCCGCTCCTCAAGCCACTCTCAATTCACACCACTCGCATCCACGCACTCTCCTGCCTCTCCCTCTCATCTCACTCCACTCCCCTCCACGCACTCTCCTGCCTCTCCCTCTCATCTCACTCCACTCCCCTCCACTCACTCTCCTGCCTCTCCCCTCTACACTCCACTCCCCTCCACGTACTCTCTTGCCTCTCCCTCTCATCTCACTCCACTCCCTTCCACGCACACTCCTGCCTCTCCCCTCTAATCTTACTCAACTCCCCTCCACTCACTCTCCTGCCTCTCCCCTCTACACTCCACTCCCCTCCACGTACTCTCCTGCCTCTCCCTCTCATCTCACTCCACTCCCTTCCACGCACACTCCTGCCTCTCCCCTCTCATCTTACTCAACTCCCCTCCACTCACTCTCCTGCCTCTCCCCTCTACACTCCACTCCCCTCCACTCACTCTACTGCCTCTCCCTCTCATCTCACTCCACTCCCTTCCACGCACACTCCTGCCTCTCCCCTCTCATCTTACTCAACTCCCCTCCACTCACTCTCCTGCCTCTCCCCTCTACACTCCACTCCCCTCCACTCACTCTACTGCCTCTCCCCTCTCATCTCACTCTGCTCCCCTCCACTCACTCTCCTGCCTCTCCCATCTCATCTCACTCCACTCCCCTCCACGCACTCTCCTGCCTCTCCCCTCTCATCTCACTCTACTCCACACGAGACACTCCCCTACGAGAATGAGCGAGTGAACGATTGAGTGCATGACATGGCGAGTGAACGTTTGAGTGAGTGAACGAGTGAGTTAGTGAACGAGTAAGTGAGTGAGTGAACGAGTGAGCAAGTGAATGAGTGAGTTAGTGAGTGCACGATTGAGTGAGTGAATGAGTGAGTGAGCGAATGAGTGAACGAGTGAGCGAGCGAGTCATCGCGTCACTCCCCACGACCGCATCGTGGGGGGGGGGTCTCTGGGACCCGACCCCTCACCGTCTCTGCCGTCCCTCCCGGGGGCCCCAGGGGCGCCGTGCTGCCCCGGGGCTCCGGGCTGACCGGGGATCCCGTTGATGCCCGCGCAGACGGTCTTCTCCTGCTGGGCTCCCACCACCCCAAGCAGCAGCAGCAGCGGCAGTGCCGAGATGGACATCTGGGGACAGCAGTGGCGAGATGTTAACTAGCTCGCCTGGTATACAGGATGGATTTAAACGACGAACTTTTTATTTTACCAAGTAATGTTCAAATGAGCTGCTATGAAGTCGATCGTTTTTCAAAAGCGGCCTGCCCATCACAAATTATAGTTCAATGAAGTAGGCTTATCATTGTCACGTGAAAATTGATAGCAAAGCTCTAAACACGTGGTGATGTTGATTTTAAATGTGAATGAGAAAATCCGGAGGACCCGGAGAAAAATCCACGCGACCACAGAGAGACACGGAATTTACAGCAGACATCAGGGTCGGGATCGAACCCACTACCTCCTATATACCAAGCAAGGTAATTAACATCTCCACAGGGAGGGACAGAGAGAGATGCAAACTCCAAATACACAGCAGCAGGCATCATCGAGGTCTCGATCGAACCCACGACTTCCAGTATACCAGGCGAGGTCGTTAATATCTCCACGGAGAGAGACAGAGAGATTGACACAAACTCCAAAGAAGGAGCAGCAGCAGGCATCGTCAGGGGTCCGGTGATCGAACCTGACGAGGGAGAATCAGAGACAAGCGGGGAGACAGCAGCCAGAACCATCGTGTCGTGTAGACGCTGCAGGAGAAATCCGATGAGCCGTGAAGCTCTTTTCAAGTCACAGATGCTCCGGTAAGGAGGCCACGAAGTCAGAACGTTTCAACAACAAACAACATGATGCACAAACGGGATAGGAGGGCGAAGTATAGGAAAGGTAAACAAATCACGTAAAACAATATAAACAAAAACTTCTATCTTCTTGGTTCTTTCGGTAAAGTCACGTAGAAGGGAAATAATAAAATAATAAAAATACAATTTTATTTAATATAATATTATTTTATTATGTTTTATTTTTTTGATTTTATTATTTCCCTTCTACATTACTTTACCGAAAGAACCAAGAAGATGAATCCCTGCAGTCACGAAAGCTTTAAATCGAAAAAAAACATCTATACTAGTTGTTATCTTGCCAGGTAAAACCCCAACTGAGCAATTCACTTATTATCAGAAGAGACCTCTCCATCACAAACAATGGCAGCTCAACAAAGTGGCCTATCATCATCGTCAACATCACGTGGACATTTATAGCAGCAGCCAAACATAGAGACACATAGAGATAGAGAGAGACGCTTTGAGGCCCATAGTGATACATGTGTGGATCTATGGGTTTCTGAGTGTGTTTATGAGTCTGCGTGAGTCTATGGGTTTCTGTGGGATCTATGGGTCTCTGTGTGAGTCTATGGGTCTCTGTGCATCTGTGGGTCTCTTTGTGAGTCTACAGGTCTGTGTGTGAATCTATGCGACTCCGTGTGAGTCCATGGATTTCTGTGTGTGTCTATGGGTCTCTTGTGATGAGTCTATGGGTCTCTGTGTGATAAGTCTATGGGTTTCTGTTTGATGAGTCTATGGATCTCTGTTGGGGTCTATCGATCTCTGTGTGAGTCTATGGATTTCTGTGTGAGTCTGTGGGTCTATATGTGAGTATGTGGGTCTATGTTTGAGTTTACTCGTCTCTGTGTGAGTCTGTGGGTCTCTTTCTGAGTCTATGGGTCTTTTTGTGAGTCTATGGGTCTCTGTTTGAGTCTATGGGTCTCTGCGTGAGGAGTCAATGGACTGAGTGAGTCTATGGGTCTCTTAGTGAGGCTATGGATATATATGTGTGTCTACGGGTCCCTGTGTGAGTTTACGGGTCTCTTCGTGAGTCAATGGGTCTTTTTTGTGATTCTATGGGTCTCTGTGTGAGGCTATGGATCTTTGTGTGCGTCTACGATTACCTGTATGATTTTGTGGGTCTATGTGTGAGTCTGTGGGTCTATATGATTTTACAGGGCTCTCTGTGATTCTAAGGGTAATTTTGTGAGTCTATGGGTCTGTGTGAGTCTACGGGTCCCTGTTTGAGTCTGTAGGCCTATGTGTAAGTCTGTGGGTTTATGTTTGATGAGTCTATGGGTTTCCGTGTAAGTCTATGGGTTTCTGTGTGATGCTATGGATCTCTGTGTGAGTCTACTGTCCATGTGTGAGTCTGTGGGTCTACGTGTTAGTCTGTGGGTCTCTGTGTGAGGCAACGGATCCCTGTATGAATCTGTGGGTCTATGTGTGAGTGAACTCGTCTCTATGCGAGTCTATGGATCTCTGTGTGAGTCTTTATACGTACGGTACGTTGAATTTTCTTTCGCACCACCGTACGTAGCAGCTGAGCGTCCTGCTAATCGGAGGTTGTCGGTGCTCAGCGTTGCTCACCGAGTCACTGGAATCCTCTCCCCCGTCTCCCCTTTTAAACGTTACTCGGGTCACGTGCTCCTCCATTTCACACTTGGTCCAGACCTCCCACGTGTGACGTCACAGTCAACAAGCGCTCACACGCAAGAAAGACAAAGATCCCCCGCGTAGCCTGTAACAGACTGCCGGGGGCAAGTGGCTGTCCCTAGGGCCTACTCAATCACCCAGCCACCCACTCACTCATTAATTCACCCACTGACCCACCCAATAAGTCACTCATCCACCCACCAGGAACTCGTTATCCAATTGGCAACAGTAGTGGGCACTGTAGCCCAGGGGTATACTCATTCACACATTCATCCAACCACTCATTCACCCACTCATCCAGCCACCCACTCACTCACCCACCCACTCACTCACCTAGTCACTCACCCACTCGCCCACTCACTCACTCACTTACCCACCAGGGCCGTATTATTAGGTAGGCCATAGTACGCATTGTGCCGAGGGGCCTATTAAAAACGAAAAGGAGGCTCCAAAACCAAAAATGTTGACGCGGTATTTTTATGTTTGTTAAAAAAGTAACCAAGATATCTTCTTGAATAAATATATTTATAGAGCATAGATAGGCACAGTGCATATACAAAGAGGCAGAGTCATGTCAATGTCAATCGTTTTTTTCATAAAGCGAGACAAAGCACTTACGCGTGAAACAAGCGAAGTGACAGCGAGCGGCGGTACCAACATGGGCAGCAGTACCAAGTATAGACAGTTATCACTAAAGGCCTACGAAACAGAAGCGGCCTAGGGGCCTACATGGACCTCAGTGCCGCGTGTGGTGACCCTCCCACCCCAGGAGCTAATGACCCGAGGGGGTGGGAGGGGTGGAAGGGGTTCCGTCTGGACGCGGTGAGAGCACTGCCAGTTGGAGTGATTCCATTGAGACAGAATCAGAATCTGCATGTATTACTGCGGGACGAATTCCACGAGCAAAGAAGCTCCTTTTCTCACAGATGTTCAGTCGGGGGCATGGGGTTAGAACCTTACGAAGGCAGGGCACTCCAGCATAGGGCAAGCTGACATTTTGTGAGAGCTGGGTGTGTGTGTGCTTGCATATGTAGTAATGTACTGCATATTGAGAATGCAGGTATGTGTGTGTGTGCGCTATGAGATTGCGCAGGTAATTGTGTGTGTGTCTGCAGCAAGCGAGGCACTTGCTCGAAAAGTCTGTTAAGGCTATACGGGGGACCTTTGTGTGTGTATCTGTGCAGAAAGGCACAGGCGGTCATATAAACTTCCCAAGAGGAGGGAGCAGGGCTGGGAGGGTGGAGGTGGAGGGGGATGAAGGTGGGGGTGGGAGGGTGAGAGCCAGAAATGTTAAGCTATTTAAATAGGGCCCTACATTCATGAAACAACAAAAATCAATCGAATAATATTTTCTGGGAAATATCAATAACTTGGGGGGGGGGGGGTCTCATCAAGGCTGGACACTGCATCAGTGAAGCTCGCTTGTTAGAAGGCATCATCATTCCACGTGCGTGTTTCTCACAATCACAATTTCTATTGAGGCTGGAGGAGGAATCCGATGAGCTATTGAGCTCTTTTTTCCCCACAGATGTCCAGCAGGGGCGGGTCGGCAAGTTACAACAACAAACAATACTCTTAGTGGTTGGAAATTCCACGTTGCTATGACGGGGCTCTCGGTGTTGAGAACGACGGCCCCTGTAACATCTTCTATGTATCTGTGTCCTCGGCTCGCAGGTGACTTGCAGTAGTCACAGCCATATCTAGATGGTATACTGAATGTGGTGTGCCGTGTGAAAACATATTTTCCGACTCGTTGGAAGGCTGGAGTAGGCGGCACGTGATCAGCAGCCACATCCCTAGCGATGTGGTATACTGGATGCGGTGTTCCGGGCTGGAAGACATTTTCCGGGTCGTTGGTAGACTTCAATAGGTGACACGTGACTGGCAGTAGCCACGTGGATATCGAGAGGGGGTATACTGGATGTGCTGTGCCGGGTGTGGCTGAAATCAAATCCCCGGTACGATTCTCAAACATTGTTTGGTTCCCTTGTCTTCAATCCCGTCGTGAGATGTGGCAAATCTGTGTCACAGGAGGGGTTAGGTGGGGTGTACTGTGGGGCGTGGGGTTGGGGGGCACTGGGGGAGGGAGGGGGGGAGGGGGGGAGGGATGACGGGTATCTTTTTTAGGGGTTGGAACGGTGATCGTGCACATGTCGCGACTTGTGTAGACAATAAAACAAACCAAGACTGTTCTCGTTTTCTATGTTCAAATAAAAGTGCTGGATGTTTGAAGCCAAGCCTTGCCTTGTCGCTGCTGCTGCTGATGCTGCCATGATGATGCTGATGACGATCGCCGCTTGTTGCAGAGGTCCTCGGCTCGCCTGCTTCACAGAGAACCTTAAAGAGCCCGTGACGTGAATCGAATAGGAAGAGTGGCAAGCGGGTGGGTGGGTGGATGAGTGGGTGGGTGAGTCGGTGAATCGGTGGGTGGGTGAGTGGGTGAAGAGGTGGGTATGTGAGTGGGTGAATCGGTGGGTGTGTGAGTGGGTGAATAGGTGGGTGGGTGGATGGGTTGGGTGGATGAGTGGTTGGATGAATGGTTGGATGAATAGTTGGATAAGTGGATGGGTAAGTGGGTGGGTGACTGCGTTGGTGAGGGAGTGGATGGGTGGCTAAGTGGGTGTGTGGCTCGGTGAGTGGGTGAGTGGGTGGGCGAGTAGATAAGTGAGTGAGCGGCTGGGTGGGTGGTGGGGTGGTTATTACTGCGGGTGAATATTAACCATCAAACACTGCGCGCTGTCTGCGTCACAGGCATAACGGTTCCTTGCCAAATATTACCCACAAATCACTTAATTGGATAAAACAATTTTGGTGACATATCCTCCATGTTGACAGACTATACCCGTCTGTGAAACACGGAGCCCTCCTTCGTGGATAGCCTTGCAGAATACCAAATGTATCTTTGACTTCATGGTCATTATTATTATTATTATTGTTTTGGAGCTCATCTCTTCCCGAGCCCCACGCTTCGTGAGATGCGCCTGGCAGCTCGTTGTGCGACCGCTGCTCGGAGGTCGTCACGCGGCTCAGAGTGGCGACTCCTCGTGGCCACGTCGGCGACAATGAGCCAGCACCGCTCAGAATCCTGGGTCGCAATAAGGTTCCCACCGCAAGAAGCCAGGTTGCATGCACACTATGTATGGTGGACGTCTTTTGCACCGCGCGCATTCAGCCGTGCTCATCGGAGGTGCTTGAGTGTAACGAGTCGATCTCAGCCAGGTCGCCAATGACTCACACAGAGACCCAAAGACGCACAGACTCAAAGACTCACACAAAGGCCCAACAACCTACATAGAGACCCAATGAATCACAGAGACCCAATGACTCACAAACAGATCATAGACTCACATAGAGACCACAGACTCACATAGAGACCCAAAGACGCACAGACTCAAAGACTCACACAAAGGCCCAATAACCTACATAGAGACCCAATGACTCACATAGATCCAATGACTCGCATCGAGACCATAGACTCACACAGTGACCCAGACTCATAGAGACCATAGACTTACAAAGAGATACAGTGATTTACACAGAGACTCATAGCCTCACACAGAGACCCAATGATCACACAGAGACCACAGACTCACACAGACCGAGTTGTGATTAAACCGGGTTCTCCAGCGCAGTGCCTCAATCGTCTCCGTCTGATAATCTCCACGTTTAAATGGTGTCACTTAATTCGCCTGATTCCAGCTCTGATGACTGAAGCGATGCGAGTTTGGCTTTCGGCAATTGCTCTATTGCAAGTGGGTATAAACGTCGTGCTCCTAATGTGGCTAGACGTTATCATCTTCCGCAGGGTGATGCACTGCTTTCTTTAACCCGACCCACCCTGCCCCCACCCACCCCCACTCTGGGCAATGTCGTTTTCTATTTGCAGCGTGAATATCTCGAGAGAGAGGAAAAAAAGACTTCACACCGATTAATTATAAGCGCGCCTTGATTCTAATTTCACATTTTATGGGGCGCCCAACTCCCCAGACCATGCCCCCAAGCCCTGCCTGCTGACGAGGAGTGGAGGGGCAGGGAGAGACTTCCTGGAGCTTGGCACCGCACAGCTCCCTCGGTTGCAAGCAAGCCCCGATTATAGCCAACGGAACGAACACAGCATGGAATTTGAACGTCATTTCTAACGCGACATTATGATTCGTAACTGATTTTTTAGTTCGGAATAAAACTAAAACCGAGGGTATCGTGTCGTGCACCCTCTGCCACCCGACGCAGCCAAACAAATGGAGTTGCCACGCGATGAACAAAACGTGAACAATTTATGATTTGAGGTTCCAATGGTGAATTTATGATTTGCTTGGTTCAGCACCGCCGACGGTGCCGGACAGCGATCCGCGCACATTTATATCAACTTGGTACGGACAATAAAAATGAATATAACAATTATGATTTAAAACCCCCAACAAGGCACTTTGTCGGAATATAAGCGCGAGTCGGATCAGCAGAGCGGGGAAAAGTAAACTTCACGCTCGATGTAGTTTAATGCGAGGTTCGTGTTAATGGCCGCATCGAGCGAGCGAGCGAGCGCCGATCATCGAGCCCCCCAATCCCCTCTGGCACCACAAACCGCGCCCCCCACGACCCCAGCACGGTGAATTTCCCGCCGCGAGCCCTCCTTGCATTAGTTAAACACGATGTTCCCTCCGCCGGATATTAGCGTCGTGAGCGGCGGCGCTAAATATAGTCACGGGCGATGTGTGTTTCGCCCCGCGCCTCCGAGATTGAATTCGCATAACCGCGGTTATTAAGCACCGCACAGCGCTGCGCCATGGGGCCGGCTGGCCGGGTTCAGTGCCTGGTCGCGTGCACGGCAGAAAAAAGGTGCCACCGATGCCTCTGGCAGGAGGCTGGCGCTGTCGACGCGCAAAGACAAAGGGCACCCGGCGTAGCCTTGAACAGACCTTTGGGGGCAAGCGCTGTTAGCTGAGCACCAATCA